AAACCGGTTGCGTAAGGAAACTGCTTGCCACAGTACATAAAGACTTGCCGTTGCGGGCTTCAAACGGCTAGAAAACCATGTAGGCTTGGTTTTTACTTGTTGCTGAGGAGTAGAGCTTGACTTGAAGCCGATGGACAATCAGGCGTGTACACAGTAAAGGCTCTAGGCTCCACTTCCTTGTGTACGCCATGGGATCTTCTCAGTCTACATTGGAGCCTAGAAGAGACACTCGGATCCTAGCGGAAATGCTAGTTACGGATCAGTTTTGTGAGTAAGGTTATCAGAAATTCCTCTTGATACTCTTGTGTTGATCTGTACCAGGTAAAGGTAGGTATATAGTGTGGACGCATTTTACAGGAAATCATTTTTACGGGACTTTATAGCAGCTTTCAGGTTCCTGGTACTCGAGTAACCCTAAAGAATTAGATCGTCAAATAAGCAGATGGTTGGATGCGGCTGGAGAGCGTGTGGGTTCGGCCAGAGCAATAGTTTCACCGTAAGTCTACGTTTAGTTGTGCTGTTTCTTTTAGCGATTGGTTCTCTGCGCTCGCAAACTCCATTTTCAGCCATGCCGGCTATTCGTACTGTGGCGACACTGCAGCCTACGCTTTCAAACAAATTGCGCCTGAAAATGTGTGAGTTCCCGAGTTCCTTTCAGCTCAATATCTCAATTTTTTGTACACCTCTGAATTATGTTTAGTGATCGCGTTTTCGTACTGGGACCTTCACACGTTGTTTGCTTGAATGGTTGTGCTCTTACAACCTGCAGTAAATATCGCACACCAATAGGAGATCTTCATATTGATATGGAGGGTATGCGGTTTGTAAATGTGATGCTAGAGGAGGCTTTATTCCTGTATCTTCTTATTTTAGTTAATGAGGAGTTGCGTGCCACACGACAGTTTGACTTGATGGATCGAAGCGATGAAGAAGCCGAGCACAGTATTGAAATGCAAATGCCTTTCATTGCGAAAATAATGGAAAAGTTAGCAAAGTTATACTCATGCTGGCTTGGACTTTATGATTTTTACGTCTTTCTACTTTGAGAGTAGTTCATGAAGTCCATAAAGTCAGTCCTCGTTTTTTACTGTTGACAAGCTTGTTTTTTCAGCAATCCAAACGTAACTGTCATACCAATTCTTGTTGGATCACTGACAGCACCAAAACAGCAAGCTTATGGGAAGATTTTTGCAAATTACCTGGAGAATCCGCGTAACCTATTTGTCATATCGTCTGATTTTTGTCATTGGGGTCAGTTTGCAGCTACGGGCAGACGTGAGTTTTCCAGTAATGTTCGCAAAGTACTTTTACAGGTAATCGTTTTCACTTTGCCCCTCATAATCCGAACAGTGGCCTTCCAATCTATGAACAGATTACGCAACTTGACAGAGATGTAAGTTGGCGTTTTTCAAATTTATCTTCTGTCGTTTTTTGTTTACTTGCGTTTGCTTGGTCATATCAGATGAATGATAAACTCTGCGGGATTGCAACTCCCTTTTAATCTTTCTGATGAATATTATGATTTCGAGTTAGTGAAAATAGAGGTCCTATAAAAAATTAATTTGTACATCCCTCTCAAAACTAAGCGAAGACTACTACCGCTTATCCTAGGGTATGGATGCCATAGAAACTTTGAATCCTCAAATTTTCAATGACTACCTCAAAAGAACGCAAAATACTATTTGTGGTAGAAATCCGATCACCGTCATGCTGCAGGTGAGAAGGGGTTTCAAGGGGTATTTTATTTTTTTTTACTTTTACCAAACTGTCGGTATCTTCGTTTCAGGCTGCAGAACACTTCAGAATGATTAACAATCACACTCATGAATTCCGTTTTCTAAAATATTCTCAGTCGAATAAGGTTGGCTTCATGTTTCTATTTTCATATTTTT